AAGTTGAACAAGTGTTTATGAAAGTACAAAAAACCCTTTATAGCGAGAAGAACTGGAGTACACATAGCTCGTCAACTACTATATAACGGGGGTACCCTTGAGTTATCAACTACTATATAACAGGGGTACCCTTGAGTCATCAACTACTATATAATGGGAGCATCCTTGAGTCATCAACTACTATATAACAGGGGTATCCTTGGGTCATCAACTACCATATAACAGGAGTACCCCTAGGTCATCAACTACTATATAACAGGGGTGCCCTTGGGCTATCAACTACTATATAACGGGGTCCTCTTGGGTTATCAACTGCTTAGGGCATACCAAAAGTAGTGGCGGTCCTATGTTAATTTCGTATAGACAGCTTCAAGAAATTTTCTTTTTATATAGACTGATAGTAAAGACAAAGCTTTACATTTCTACGCTATTTGATCATTATTCATCCAAAATAATAATAAAATTTTCATTAGACTTGTTCACCTATGATATGTAACGATAACATAACTCCATATTGTCTTCTGTGTATATTCTTGTCTTGATCCATTCTTTGTTCTTTTACTATCTTTTCTTTATTTTTTTTCTTATCTCTTAAAATTGCTTACACAAACTTTAATGTTTCAAAAGAAATCACTCCTGGAAAATCATACAGAAATCCCATTTCATTTGAATCGTTTTGATCATGCTTATTTCAAAGCCAAACAGTATGATCTTGCACTTTCAATTCTCGATAGTGCTGAAAACTTTTTCCAGACAAAAATGCCTGTTGATGATCATCAAGGATATGCCAAAACTTTGCATACGATAGGTTTAGTGTATCGTGCTCTTAGTGACGATAAAAAAGCATTGATTTATTTTCAAGAAGCACTGCGCATACGATATTCCTCACTTGGTAAAAGTCATCCATTGCTTGCTTCTACTTGTTATCAATTGAGTCTCATACATCACGATCGTGCTGAATATGAAATTGCACTTGACTATGTTCAAAAGTCTTTAAATATTCAGTTAATCAAATGGCCACACTCTCATTCCGAACTGAAACAATCAAGAGAACTTCTTCAACGCCTTCAGCAACGCCAATGAATGTTTCGAATTATTTTTTTGTCATTGATATTAGAATTAAGAGGACCACCCCCCCCCCCCCCTTAGAAAACCCAATTTTTCGAAAAACATATCGAAGTCGAGTTTTTATCATAGGAAGATGTTTCGAAGCTTCCTCTTTGAGAATATATATGATTTTTCCCAAAATGACCAGATTTTCACAAACTTATCAGAAGAAACTTCGACCCTACTACCATATTTTTAGAGAAATTTTCGTGGTTTTTTAAAGCTTTTCTGTTTTTGAAAAACTACATTGTCACATGCATTAGCATTGAATAGAACATTTTTATATTAACCAGCATGACAGATGGCATTAGCTATCTTCATCTGTTACGTGCTTTAAAATAGTCCACTGAAATATTAAAAATATGCCATCGTAATATGATTTTTTCCTGAATTTGAATGAAAAAGTCCATTTCTAAAACTTCTCTAGAGTTTTTCCAAAACATGATTTTCAGGCAGGAAAATTGACATAATCTTCTTCCGGTTCAAGTTACTACTAATATTTTGTTTTGTTTTTGAAGGTTTATACGAGAGCTAACTTTTATCCGACCAAGTTTTTTTCTGTATTGAATTCCTGAGCCGAGGAAAATGAGATTTGGTGTCGTGGGAATCACCTTTTTTAGTGCTTACTTGAACACCATGTCTATTAAAATGCTCATAAAAAAATGAATAGAAGAGAATTTCAAAAGTCTGGCCGGCAAAAGTTGCGCACAGAGATCAGCTTTAATTTGCAAACCATCTCGAGCTCTGTACCTCTTATAGTGGCGGAGTTATAATGATTCTCCTGGAAACTATATAAACAAGCTGGAAGTTCGGTCTAGTAGGACAGATCGGGCTAAAATTTTTATCATAAGTGTTTCTTACTAGGATCACTCATTCTTGAAAATTTCAGCTCCAACGAGCCGGTCTAACGAGAGAAACCTTCTAAGTGATCCATCGCTTTTGGTACCATATTTTGCCCGTGAGTAGGGAACCTGTAGACTAGAAAAAGCCTAAGAGGATATGGGCTTATGTTGTGATGTAGCTGAAATATACAAATTTTACTCAAATTCCTCTGGAGAACCTAGGTTTTCCCAGCAAAATCGTATTTTCGAATTTTGACCTGAAGCTTTGCCCACATAAAGCCCTCAGTTAGACAAGTTTGCGAAAAAAAATTCAGAATTTTCGGACATAGTATCACCGAGATATGAATTTTCCAAAATGTAGATACTTTTCCATATATATTATATAATACATGGGTATCTTGAAAAATTCATATCACGGCGGTGCGATGTCCAAAAATTCTGAAATTTTTTTCGCAAGCTATTCTAATTGAGGGCTTTATGTGGGCAAAGTTTCCGATCAAAATTCGAAAATACGATTTTGTTGCAAAAATCTGGGTCATCCAGAAAAATTTGAGTAAAACTTGAATATCTCAGCTATATCACAACATGGATCCATATCCTCTTAGGCTTTTTCTAGTCTACAGGTCCCCTACTTATGGGCAAAATATGGTACCAAAAGTGATGGATCACGTCGAACGATTCCCTCGTTAGTTGATATACTCATTTATCATAATTACTCTTTCAAACAACTGCACTATGGCGAGAAAATAATAATAAATGAACTGAATAAAAGAAAACGCTTATCTAAATGTGAAAACATCTCTTGCTATTAGATACATTAAGGCTAAGAAATTCTTTATTGAATAGGAAAGGAAAATCTTTGAAAATTTACTTAAACATAGGCAAAGTTCAATCTGCCAATATAGCTCAAAGTATTGATAGGACATTGATTACTAATATTAAAGAAAATGAAATTTTTGGACAACAGATTAATTGGAAATTTCATGAAACACTTCTAACAGAACAAAGTCATCATATGCACTGAGATTTTTCATCACAAGAAGCTTAACAAACCAAAATATAGAAACATAATATTTTGATATTTGAAATCACATTCTCAAATGTACAACAATTTAACAAAGATATAGAAGGAAACCATTCATTGTCATATCATATTTCTCTTGCCTCAAATTAGTAATCGAATATAAGATTGCATCTACCTATAAACAAAAGATGATTAATTATTCATTTATTTGAGATAATTAATATAATTCAGAACTATTTACAGCTATATCCGCAAATCCACCCGAAACTAACACATTTCCATTTGTTAATACGGATGCTGTGTGTACAGATCGTGCATAATTCATACTAGCAGTCATTGTCCAGTTTCCTGTTGATGGATCATACAACTCAGCACTATCTAGATAATAATCAGAACCTTGTCCACCAGTAATTAAAACTTTTTCATGTGTTAATACGGATGCTGTATGTAAAAATCGTGTATTATTCATACTACTACTTGTTGTCCAAGTTCCAGTTGATGGGTCATACAATTCAGTACTCTTTAGAAAAGAAATACCAACTCCACCCGTAACTAACACTTTTCCATTTGTTAATACAGAAGCCGTATGTGCATTTCGTACATCCTTCATACTAGCAGTCATTGTCCAGTTTCCTGTTGATGGATCATATAATTCAGCACTATCTAGGCGAGAAATGCCATCATATCCACCCGTAACTAATACTTTACCATTCGTCAATACGGATGCTGTGTGTCC